TTCAGAGAAGAATTGTATAGTAGCAGCTGCATTTTCATGCATTACCGGAGTTCACCTCATTTATGTTTAATATGTAGAAAATGCTACCATTTTCCAGTTTTACTGCTACTCTTATATTTTATACAGTTCACAGGGAAAGTGATGTTTTCTGTGACTGTAGGCAAGCCAACTAGTGTCACACAGTCAGTTTGAAATACTAACCAGAACTCCAGAAACACAGTATTTTTCATGATTGGTTTATCCTTCCTCTTGTAGAGTGCACTGCTCCCCTCTTTACCAGATGCTCTTAACACTGCAAAACCCGAGTACACACTGGATTTGACATCCCTCTAGAAAACAGCATCCAGGACACAAGCACTAATGATTAGTTTTATAGGTTCCAATGTGATTATAGTTTTCAATGCATTTTCACCTTTGCATACCCCAAAGCCAGTGACATCCAGGTTAATCCACGTCCTGAGATATAATCACCAGGTGTTGAGAAACAAGTTCTTTAGTGCGATACAAATAAACAACTGCCTAATGCCGAAGTGGAAAGCAGTGCTTCATAATGACTCAAGAAAACTCAAAATTGGATAGGCAAGGCAGACAGAATGAGGCACAGCAAAGAACCCATAAAGATCAGCAACTCACCTGTAACTCTGACTAGTAGCAAATGTTTAGCAATCAAGAACAGTTTAGCAATAATCCTTACTTCTAAGTGGGAACTGGTGTTAACAGTCTAAGGAAAATAACCTTTCTGGACTGTAGAGACAGAGGGAGAAAAGCACCAGCATTCAGTCCTCTTTCACTCCTGCCTTTCCCATGTCCCCCAGCACTGACACCTCCCTAGCCCCTTTAGGGGAAAGTTATACTGCCCTTTTCATTATTCTTCTTAGCCCTCATTCTGAAGAAAGCAATTTTAACATATCATTGAAAAAATCTGGCATGGTTTCTCCTTGTTAGTTAGCATTTAAAAAAATTAAGGTTTTCTTGGACAGGTTTGTTTTCAAATAAAAATAATTTTTTGAGAATTTGTGAAATTCTCAGATTTTTTGAGAAAATGTGAAAACCAACCAAACATCATAAAAATGACACCACAAAAACAGAGGAAGACAGATAACATCTTACACATGTTAAACTCGTGACATAAAGTCTCATTGCTATATCAGCCTCTGCAATGCTATAGAGAGGAAGGTATGAACTTCCTTGGCTTGATGGGCCAAGCACCAAAGCAAGTCAAGAGATCAGTGGAGAAAACAGGAAACAGATGGAGGTGGGGGGCTCTTGAATCACCCTTTGCTGCTTTTCACACACTGGCATAGGCCAACATAATGAAAAGCAAGTTCAGCACTGAGGAAGAACTACAGCATGGTAGCAGCAAAAGGAGGCTTAAGACGGAACACCTCAATTAAACACAAGCATTCAAAGACACAACCAGAAGAAAGACTATGCATCATCCCTCTGTACCCCTTCTGGAATAGTGACAGAATCAAATACCTCTATAAAGTGCCTGTAGGCCAACACACACAGTATGGGAAACAAACAAGAGGAAGGATAGATCTTGTGTGCAATCACAGATCTCACTGCGATTATGGAGATGTACAGGGATAACTCCTGTGGCTGGAATGTTGTCATGAAGGGTATACACTATTTAGGAGAGATAGACTGGGAAGGTGTAGTGTTGTAGTGTGTTTTTGTTTTATTAGTAAGTTTATTGTTTGATTTCTAATTTGATAGTTTTTTTTATGCTGTTTCCTTTTTGCTCCCACTTTTTCCCAGAATTTTCGTCACGTTTCTTGTTGTTAGTTGCTAGTTTCTATTTCTCCAAACTCTATCAGTTTCCCGAAACTGTTCTCCTCCCTTGGGATTTTTATTGGTTTATACATTGTGGTTTCCACCTGGTTTTTTACTCCCAATTCTCCTGATTTGTTAAAGATTGTACCCTCCCCTGAGACCTGCACCCAAATATAAGCTCCTTTTTCCCCCCGATCAGGGGCCTGGGAGGCAGAAGGGGAAGTTTACCATCAAATAAAGTTACCCCGGGACCGTATGCTGCTCTGTGTTTTATGATGCACCGACACTGGCACCTGGGATTCAACAGAGCTCCAGGGGGCATCTGCCGTCCCCTGCCTCCTGTCATCAGCCAGCGGGGAGGAGGAGAGGCAGTGTACTAATGGAGCTGCCCTCTATGAGTGAGGTAACACTTAGAATGTATTGAGCTCTGTCTTGGTGAGGATGATGAGTTGAGGGCTTATGAGTTTCGATAAAATGACAGACTGGTAAGGGTGCTGCTGTTGTGGGTTTGTTACAGGTTGCCCAGGTAGGAGGAGGAGGAGGTTGAGGAGGCCTTCCACAGGCAGCTCGAAGCAGCCTCAAAAGTCACAGGTGCTGGTTCTTTTGGGGGCTTTTAACTACCCTGACATCTACTGGGGAGAACAACACAGTGAAGCACAAACCATCCAGGATGTTCCTGGAAAGCCTTGATGACATCTTCCTGACACAAGAAGTGGATGATCCTACAAGGAATGGTGTGCTGCTTGATCTCATACTAACAGAGAAGACCTTGTTGGAGATGTGAATGATGGGCACGGCTTTGGCTGTAGTGACCATGAGATTGTGGAGTTCAGTATGGGGAAGGAGGAAGCAGCAAGATTGTAACTATGAACTAGAGAAGGGCTAACTTTAGCCTCTTCAGGGATCTCCTTGGAAGAATCCCATGGGAATGAGGCCTACAGGAAATAGAGGTCTCAGAGAGCTGGTTGATATTCAAGGATCACTTCCTCCAGTCCCAAGAATGCTGCATCCCAGTGAGAAAGAAATCAGGCCAAGGGAAAATAGGCCTGTGGATGATCAAGGAGCTCCTGACATTACTTGAGTGTAGGCAGGAAATACACAGGAAATGGAATCAGTGTCAGGACACTGGGAATGAATACAGAGAGGTTGTCACAGTAGGTATAAATGAGATGAGGATGGTCAAGATCCATCTGGAATTAAAGCTGGCCAAGGCTGTCAAAGACAAGAAGGCCTTCTTCAATCCATTGGGGTCCCTTCCAACTTAACCCGTTCTGTGATTCTGTAATATGAACTTATCTCCAAAGGAAGATACCAGTACAAGAGCACCATACTGCAAGCTATTCTGTTCCCAAAATATTATCACTAATTCCCACTCTAAAGGATTCTTCAAAAAAATTTAGTGTCACTGAGAATCAAGCCCAAAATATCAATCAAGTTCTTTATTTATATCTGTTGTACATTATAATATCCCTAAAATTAAAGGACTGTTGTTTTCCAGGTTTTGATACTACATAATTAGATATCAGGGCTGTGAATAAAGTATAGTTTTAAAATGTTAAGACAGCATTAAAAAATGAGTAGTATGTCAGTAGAGTCTGAGGAGACAGCTCCTTAATAACAATGGACAGGGAATTTAAAGAAAAAATAGTTCAGAGAAGTAAATGGATATTCTTTCCAGAAGAATGATTTCTTTAAAGACAAAAACCCAAATTATGCACTCCTTTTTTTTGTTTCAAAAGAACTACTTTGAAGGTAAAATATGCCCAACCAAAGCAATTAAGATGAGAAGAAGAAAGATAGAGAAAAAGAATACTCCAAGGGCCAAGTATGTAAGACTGAAAGAACTATTAGGCCAAAGTATAATTATCCATTTTCCCCTGAAATACATTTATTTAATACAAACATAAATATGTGCAGAACAGAGGAAGGGTTACCAGAGAAGGTAAAGCAAAAGCTCTCAAATGTTGTTCTTTGGAGAGCATCACCATTATCAAAGAGAACTGTTTGCTGCAAGTTGGTCTTGAATTCAAACAGACACCTGCTTAAGTTTTCCATGTCTCTGTGAGCAACTACTAAAAAAGGACAAATTGAATGTTATAAAACATAGTCTACAACAGCAGTGCTTCCCAGACTCCAGTCTTAGCAGTTGTAGAACTTTAGATAAACTTCTCACAGCTGACAAAGGAAGAAATTTTTACTTTAATTTTTACTTTTGGACTACAGCCTTCCTCTCTAACTCATGTCCTTTTTCTGAAGGAGAGGAGGAAACTGAGCTTCCTCTTGTTCCCATCATTCACTCTCCATGAGATGAAAAGCAAACTGTGTGTCAGATTTTGCTGTATGAATAAAACTGCTCCTAAGTTTCTAAGTTCTACCAGGTGCCTTTCTCATTCCTTTGCTCCAAGAGTCAGTGTATCAATTAAATTCATGAAAATACTTATTTATAAATTCTTGCTCAAAAAAATGTAAATCCTAAAGACAAGCAAAAAGAATCCTTAGTAAGCTAAGTTTGCACAATGTTTCATGGTTCCGCTACAAAGATAAGAAATCACTTGAGTGAAGCATTTTGCACCACAACCCCTGTTCAACAACTCTGCTGCAGAAACCTGGGATGTTTTACAATTTTAAATGCCATTGCAGAAAACAAGAACATATTCTTTCAATCATATTTCCTCATCTAGCGTACACATTTATAGACAGTGTCTCTACTTGCCTTTGGTCATTTATAATGCCCTGATGCTAATTAAAAAATAATTAAAAAAGAAGACTTCCTATTTTATTACCCATCTCACTTCACTAAGTAAGATTTCCTCTAAGGCCTCCCATGAAAAATGAAGAGGACATACTTTGTTTCAGCTTATGGTGACAAGCATCAGATGCTCCTCCAGGCAACCCTTGCTAGGGGCACAGCAAATTTTTTCAGAGGCCTAATTCTGATGGATGCACAAAATAAGACAGACTGAGAGCAGAGCTTTCAAGAGGAAAAAAGACCAGCGGGTTTCAGGGAAAATTGTCTTTCAGGCTACCTGTATTTTTATAAATTGTAGCCAGGAATAAAAATTTATGAAAAGTGGACAAAATATTATGCTACCTGCCACAGTTCATTAAAGTACTATGCACAGAGCAAGCAGCTACTTAAGTAACTGAATAGATCCTGCTCCTCCACATTTTACTTTCATTGAGAAAAGATGACTTCAATGACTCCAAATGTATTGCTGACATACCTTTCCTGGCTCCCTTCTGTGATGTGGTAGAGACAATTGGCACCTCCATCAGCACAAGCTCTCAGGGCAGCTGCAAGTGAAGAAAGAGAACATCAGCACATTTGCTTTATAAATAAAAACCCACAACTAGTTGACAGTGCTGTGTAAATTAATTGTTCATAGTGGCATAGGGAATAAGCTTGAGATCTTGTATGGCTTTTAGCTTCTGGTACTTGACTGCTTTCCCTGTTCTCTAAATAGAAATTTGAACTGTTTTGATCAGACTAGTGCCAATCTTCATCTGACTGTGCCACTGTACTTGCAAATAGCTAATTTCTGTTATGAATAAAGTTCTATATGTCTAATTCAATAAACAACAAAGTTGAATTTAGCAACAATTTTAATTGAGCAGCAATTTTATATAAAATAATACAATCAAATATAATCGAGCAGATACAAAAATAATTTGGCAGTGGTTTGGGTAAAGAATAAATAAGACCAACCGGAGTACAAACCCAGCTGGGGTATTGGGGAGGTTTCTCCCCCTACCCCCTGTACGAAAAACAAAGGAATCCAAACAGAACTTATACACTGTATGCTAATACATATTCATCAATATTTTCCTGTAAATCTCCTCCTATTGTCAATTCTTGAAATCTACGTCACTATGCTGCACAGCACATGCTCCGCTTGTTTCTAAGGGGTCTTCTGGCTCCTTGGTGGTCATTTCTGACAAAGGCTTCTCCTCATTGTCACCCTCCTTTGAACAACCCCACAGTTTGCACATGTGCCCCAAGTCTTTTGTTATAGAAGCCAGCATTATATTCCAAAAGTAAGCCTTATTATTTCATAGATACCTGGAATCATCCCAATTTTGTCCATTTCAAGGCTGATTCCTTATTATCCCAAGGCCTAGTTCATTTTGGGATTTTACTTATCTCAAACTATATCCTGCATCCTATTTTCTCATCTGAAAACATCTGAACATCTGAAAACATCTGTTTTGTGACACTACATATTCCTTTTCTCTATTATTTTTAATAAATATTTTCTAAAATGTCTATATAGTTACAATTGTTAGCACGAATCAGATTAATTTATTACATTTCTATCTATCTGAACCTGCTGCCCAGCCAGCTTAAACTACAAGACAGGCAAGTATTAAAACCTGAAAAGGCCCACCCGCCATCTACAGATGGATTCTCCACCTTGTCACAAGTGAGAACTTGAACTGTAAAAACAACTATCTTCTCACCTAGGCAGAAAATCCCCTATGGTGGCTCTACAGCAACCTGCATAACAATTGGAAAAGAAAAATAACCAAGAGTTAATAAAGACAATACCCTTTTTCTCTTTTTTCTCCCCTCCTATGACACAAAAATGGTAACATTATTACACTTCCTATATTGTTCCACAGAATGTTTGACTCTTGTGATATAAAGTAGGTGGTTTATGTCTCAGCTTTAAATCTTGGACTATCCTGGTATAAAACCACAATAATTTTCAGCTCTCCCACCAACTTTGGGACCACAAAGGTCATGTGCCACTAATTCCAGTTGATTTAAACACACAGAGACATGCTGTTCTCTTGTGATCCTTTTGTTTATACAGACTTAATTCAGAGAAAAGAGACAAGTCTAACACTATAATAAAATCAAATATAAATTGGTATCTTTTTTTTATAAGCTTCCCTATTAATCATCATTTAACATAATAATACACAGCTCTTTCATGAGGTTTTTAAAACCTGATAAGCTATTAAAGATTGAAAATTACTATCTTGTCTTAGCAGTCTTTATCAGTTTTGCTCTGAGATGCACAAGTTAGATAACTATAACATACAATATAAAAAAAGCTGTTGCTTTCACACTGGGACAGAGTGTTTCCTTCCAGACACAGAGAGACTGACTGGCAATCCTGAAAAGGCCGAAAGTCACAGGGCCAGAAGGGAAAAAGAGGAGAGACAAGTAAAAGAAGGTACAAACAATCAGATCAGGCACTTCTTGCTGCTAAAAATCCAATTTTCAGCCAAAGCTGCTTTCCTTTGGTGTTTATTTTTCAGTCAGAACCACCCATCAGCAATGATACAAACCTGTATCTTCCCTTTTGGTGTACATTAGATGAGCAATCCACCTTCCCTGCTACTTAGCCAGCCTATACAAATTGGGACAGCAGAGTTCACCTCTACAGCTGCTCTCATCTTCAAGTCATTCTTTCCTATGTGGGTGCTAAAATCCCACAGGGAGTGTTTGTAAATGATTATCTACTGTGCAGTACCATGTGACCTTAGCTGATTTTTTGGGGGGGCAGGGAGAAAGAAGGAAGCAGGACAACACAAAAGCTACCAGTTCATCACAGGTGACTTTGGGTACCTCAGCTTTTTTCTTTCAGGCTGAAGCCATGAGCAGAGCGGGAGAACAAGCACTGTACTCCTCTGTATTGTTTCTAGCACGTCTGCTCCTGCTCTCTCCAGTACCCACTATGGCAAGCACTACTGCCCTCAGCCTTCTTGTACTGACCAGGCTCTTCTCTGTCCCTTTACACTCCTTCACCCACCCCTTACAGCCTCCACCCAAATCCATATTAATTAGCCAAGTTCAAGCAGATTTGATCCTGAGAAATCTTATTAGGTGAAGAAATTTCTAGATTATTCTAGAAGCTTGCCAGCCACTTAATGTGGTGATACTCTGCTTCAGTCCTATCCAGTCTGATGAATACATCACAAGACAAGAACACTACTTTTTGCCTGCTGTGTTTGACTAGAAGATTTTAACTTCTCCTTTCACTTGAGGTTACAGCTGAAAATGGATTGATATACCTCCTTTCACCTGGAGACACCTGTTCTCTCAGGGAGTTCAGCTCACACAGATTATAGTAATGGCCCATTGCAAGAAGAGTGTGTAATACCTGTCCTAAGTCAGCCATCCTGTTCACCGGCTTATTTAGCAGATAGAAGGCATCTAGGCAAGGCCTAGGACCTCAGGTACCTAAGGATGTTTCCCAGATATTTCCAGACAGTCACAGCTTCTTCCTTCTGAAAACAGTGAGTTTTCTATTTATTCTCCCACATAAAAAAAAAAAAAAGTAGCTTATAAATTCTATGGGAAAAAAAAAAGAATGGGATGAGATACATAAAAAGATATTAAAATCTATTATTGGTCTCAATTATTTTAACACAGCCAGAGCCTTAACTATAGTATATTCTCTCAATGGATTTACCATTAGTGAAGCCTCGCCCAAGATCTCCTAATCTCATTTTACAATTTTAAAACAACATGATCAAAAAAACCAAACCAAACTAAGCAGTACAAAACTGTCCTGGTTTAGGGTGAATTTGTGAGGAAAACTTCTAAAGGGTTTCCTTTAGAAAGCAGATTCAAGTAGCCCCTGCCCTAACTGGTTCAGGAAGATATTTCCTTGGAGAAAAGTGGAAAATTTTTTTTATTTACGAGGCAAAGCATTCACCAGCACAAAAAAAATGAACAATATTAAACAATAAAACCTCTTGCCAATCTGAAGAGATGTCAAACTCAGAAAAGGCCCCTTTGTGGGCTGTAGCTCGGCTCACTCAGTCTCTGATCAGTCCCTCTGGTGGTGGAAATGCTGCTGCCCAGGCACAGCCTGGTGGGCTGCAGGTGTGAGCTGCCGGTGCTCCTCTGGGTGTTCAGTCCAGAGCAGGCTTAAATAGGTCCAAGGAAAAGAAAAACCACAGTCCAAGGACCTTCTCTGCCTCAGCCAGCTAAAAACTAACTAAAAGCAAAGGAGAGCTCTGTCCTGCTGTCTGTCCGTGCTGCAGAGAGCACAGTCCAGGAGCAGGATGAGGGGAGCAAGTGCAGTTTCTGATAACAAACCCCGCACTTCTTCTCTCCCCACCTCACTCTTAGAACAAGTCTTAAAGGTGCAAAACTTGTTATCCAGTGTAAACAGTTGGGGATACAAGAATCATATAGCCAACCCAGGACAAAAACAAATCAGTTTTCAATCAGTCTGGTACGTGTAAAAGTACTGAGATTCTTCCAAAGAAAGGAAGGTGCCTAAGTAACAGATCTATGATATTCGGATGTTTTAACATGGATATGGTGCTACTATTTGATATTTCAAATCAAGAGTTGCCTTATATAACTGCAATTTAAAGCTGTCCTTCACATATTTATTCTTATTTATAAAAAAAAAAAAAATTAAACTTTGGTAGCACTATAAAGTTATTTAAAGAAACAATTTATGAAGTACTGATCCTTTACCAGCAAGTTAATAACTTACACTGAAATCAAACAAAACCTTAGTTGCATTAAGGAACTAGCAGGTAATTAACAGATTGGCTGGAGGCCAGTAAATAATAATATTTCTACAGCTATGAACTAAGCTTTGTTTGACAAAAACTAATGATATATGTTAGCTGGAAGAATATGTATCATTATTACCTGGAAGTGTTTAAGGAGATGGTCAGCAATTCTAAGCTTACAGTTTGGATAGAAAATTCTCTTTGAAAAATAATAGGAACTGATTTTTAACAGTGCCTTTTATATTAGAGACAAAATTGCTTTACAACTATTTGGCCAAGGTGCACCATGGCAACTGTGTACGCAAATCTAAGAATCTCTAGGCAGTTTGCAACAGCTCACACAAAACCTCATTAATTATTTCAGCAGAAACTGAAGGACCTGAACAAGATTTGGGCTTTGTTTTGCTTGGCTTGGCATTCTGAAAACAGAAACATCTTCTTCTGAGATGTTTTCAATTTAAACAGATGAAAAAAAAACTTAAAAGGTGGGAAGTGACACAGATGGATTAAGTGCTAAGGGTCACAAATGGATCAAAGGCAAGTTATCTTCCAGAGCGGCCAAAGTGGAGGGTGAGGCTTATAAAGTAAATAAATCAAGTGGCCAGTCAGAACACCAAAGGTCTTACTCTTACCATCTCTTCTGCCCCAAAGGGTACCATCACATTACAGCAGACCCCTCAAATTTGCTAGGTGGGCTGCACATGGAAGTATGCTCTTGCTTATGTATGTCAGAACAATCTAAGTCACCAAAGACATTATCTAAGGCTAGAGGCAGTTAACCTGGCTTTTGTGAAGTGGCCCATACTAAG